GATTTCTAGAAAGTTTCCACATTAAAAACGAAATAAAGTCGTTTGACATTGACTGRTTGGTTAAAAATGTGTACATGACAAATAATATTAATATTATTATTATATGTATTATAGTGAATAAGACCTTTGATTCACTGAGTAAAATTAAGCATAATTTGAGCTTTCGACACCACTGGAGTCTTCAAAGTATATATTATATTCTCATCTAATAAGATTGATGAAGTTTCGTTATTAAAATTGTTATTTTATAAGGATTTCTAGAACGTTTCCACATTAAAATTAAAAATTAAAAAAATCAAAAAAAAATCATTCAAGTGAAAACRAAAACCCGGTCCGGATACCTTAGAGTATTTTAAACAAGTTTTCCATCTGATTTCTGCCATGGACCAACCTATTTCTCTTTGCTTTGTTCCTGCGAATAATTTTTCAAACAGTATCACAAGTCAAGATGCAAGAAACCTATTAATTCTTGAAGTCATCAACTCTGTGTTAGCTGTACCAACAGCTGCTGCTAATGCTCTGGTTATCGTGGCCATTCTGACAACGTCTTCTTTACGAACACCGTCGTATCTTTTACTTTCAAGTCTCGCCATCAGTGATCTTGCAGTGGGACTTCTTGGGCAACCATTTTTTACCTTTTGCATATTTTCGTTTAGAAATGGAAATGCCAAAGCTTACTGTTATGCTCGATGGATTTCAACTGTTATTTTAGCCTTGCTTGCCTCGGGCACACTCTTGACAGCGGCAGCCATCAGTGTAGACAGGTACTTGGCCATACGAATCAAGACGCGGTACAGATCTGTTGTCACAGTACGAAGAGTGAGGTATATCCTAATATCAGTTTGGCTGCACTCAATTTTCACTCTGTCTTGCCCATTTTTCATGTCTCCAAGCACAAGCTGCTATGTGGCGGCTTCTGAATTAGTAATCTGTATGTTGATTATTATGTATTGCTACACGATGTCGTTCAAAGTCCTTAAGATCCACTGTGCTCAGACCCATCCACAGGGTGACCAACAACCCAACAGTACAACACAGTCCAATACCATCGATGTTCTCAAGTACAGAAAGCTCTTAAAGACATTGCTCTTGATAATGGTGGGCATTTTCATTTGCTATTTGCCCCTTGCTAGTGCTTTTGTTATCTTCACTAAACCCAATCCAAACAGAGTGGTTGCTTGGTATCTTCTTAGCATCACTACCCTTAACTCGCTCTTTAATCCTGTAATCTACATGACAAGGATGAAAGATCTGAGAAGAGTTTGTTTTCAGATGCTTAGAAAAATATTTCGTGCTTAATGAGTTTTAATGAGCCTACGCAAATACAAGTGATCCTTTGTGGCTAAGAGTGTCCAGTTGTATTGTGAGGAGCTATATGTATTGAGTATATTGTGAATATAAGAAGAAAGAGACAAAGGAAAGAAGACTAGAAAAAAGTTTTGAGGAAGCTTTTGGGCAGCTTCTTCAATCGAGACCATTTAAGACGGCATTCCGGTTTCAATTTAAACAGAAAAAAAAACACATGAATAATAACCTGAACAATAAAGGAAACTGTGTTTTATTATACTGAATATTTTTTAAGTAAAAATATTTTAAAGCCTTTAAAAATAGACTCTTGGCTAAATGACACTACTCTTTGTATTGTCCTTTTTGGCAATTCATTTCTTTTCTCTGCTCATCAAAGATTGGGCGCCGGCGCAGAGTTGAATAGGATTTATTCTTTTTTTGGAAAACAATTTTGGCATGGATTCTGATTGGCTAATTGTTCTCCCTAAGATTACCTGGTTATAAACCCTCACCAAAGCACAATTCTCCAATAAACCAGAAGTGTTTTTGGGTGTGCGATTCTTGAGTGGTCGTTCTATACATAAAATATATAAATTGACCGAGGACAAACTCTTGATCTCATTTCTGCCATGGACAAGCCAATAACTTCGTGCTTTATTTCTGCCACGAACTATTCGAAGAGGATCACGAACGAGGATGCGAAAAACATGACTTTCCTTGAAGTCATCAACTCTGTGTTAGCTGTACCAACAGCTGCTGCTAATGCTCTGGTTATCATGGCCATTCTGACGACGTCTTCTTTACGAAAACCGTCGTATCTTTTACTGGCTAACCTCGCCTTTAGTGATTTTGCAGTGGGACTTTTTGGGCAACCAGTTTTTACCTTTTGTATATTTTCATTTAAAAATGGAAATGTTGAAGGGTACTGTTATGCGCGGTGGATTTTAACTGTTTTTTTAGCTTTATTTTCCTGTGGAACCATCTTCACCATAACAGCGATCAGTGTGGACAGGTACTTGGCCATACGACTCAAAATGCGGTACAGATCTGTTGTCACAGTGCGAAGAGTCAGGTTGATCTTGGCGTCAGTTTGGCTGCATTCAATATTCGCTTTGTCTTGCCCATTTTTCATGTCTTCAAGCACAAGCTCCTATGTGGCGACTTCTGAATTAGTAATCTGTTTGTTGATTATTATGTATTGCTACACGATGTCGTTCAGAGCCCTGAAGATCCACTGTGCTCAGATCCAACCGCAGAGTAACCAACAACCCAACAGTACAACACAATCCAATGCCATCGATGTTCTCAAGTACAGAAAGCTACTGAAGACAATGTTATTAATAGTGATGCTTATTATCGTTTGCTATATGCCACTTCTTGGTGTTTTTGTTATCTTTACGAAACCCAATGGAAATAGAGTCGTTGCTTGGTATCTTCTTAGCATCACTGCCCTTAACTCGCTGTTTAATCCTGTAATCTACATGACAAGGATGAAAGATCTGAGAAGAGTTTGTTTTCAGATGCTTAGAAATCTATTTCGTGTATAACGTGTTTTAAAGGGGCAAAGCGAGTGCAAGTGTTTGTTTATGGTTAGGGAAGTCCAGATGAAAAACGAAATCAAGGGCAATAAGTTGAATATATTGTGTAAGATACAAAGAAGTAGTTATGGCAAAGAGAACGACAAGGACAAGGAAAATCAGAGATCCACAAATTGCCTCGCTTTGGAGATTACACAATCGAACCTAAACAGAGGGGGAGCCAAAAGAGTGCAGAACAAATGCTGACGTCTCCCTCGGGGACCGGCCAAGTGACTTTTTAGGGCTTCGGGTCAACGGTTTTCACACTCATTTCTTCAAAACCCAAGAAATTCCTGGTTTCAAAGATCTTTCAAGACTAGCGAGTGTCAAAAACGATAATAGGTTTGAGGTATGTACAAGCCTCGAGTTAGATTGAAGCCGTCTCAACTTAAGGGCCAAAAAGTCAAAAGGTTTTTATTTTCCACAAAACATTATAAATAAAAAAATACATTAATTTGAATAAATAGATAGTGGAAGGTTCGTTTTATAGTATAATCTAGTGCATTCTTTTTTTTTTTTTT